ACCGGCTTTAGTGCATGATTTGTTGGTGGGGGTGGGGGTGGGGCAGGGATGTAGTCCCCTATCAGCTTTGCATTAGGTATAAATCTGAAACTAAGACACCCCTGAAGACTTACTTCATTGGCAGTTTCTGTAACGTCCCCTCAGAAATGATCAAGCCAACTTTAATAAAACTCGAAAAGGGATTGACTCTCCAGGAGTTGAGCACAGGGCCATAGGGTATCAAATAGTGGAAAAATCTTCAAACATGATCTTCTCTGGAATTTAAAGGTGCATTTTCACTTAGGTTCAAAAAGTCATCATTAGGCGATAAAAATCAAAATATACCCAGGAAGGGGCCAAGCCTTCCACTTACATATCCTGTAAAAGTTGTTAGTGGATTTAAACCAAATGTTTTTGAATTCGTCCTTTGCTTACTATACTCCCGCTGGAGTTTTATTCATTTGAAATAGGATCTTCTTAACAGTATGTGTATAACTATTACTCATAATTTCACCCAAGTGACCGCGAAGACCCATTGGTATTTATTTTTAATTGTAGGTAACAAATAAATACGATAAGCGTTATCCTCAGAATGTTATCATATGATTCTAAACTTCTTTCCTCCTTCCTGTCTGAAACGATATTAAGGATTCGGTAATTTGTCCGTTTAAGACTTCCGCCATTACTTGTTACCTGAAATATATATATCCAGTATTGGTGAGCATTATCCAGTTGGCAGCAATTGGTTTCTCTTCGATTTGTTCCAAGGAGTCTACAAGTACTATATTAATTTTTCTCACAATTGTTTCTCACAGCAGGAGAGACAGAGTGGTATATCTATAACTGGAGAAGCAGATGTATATCTATAACTGGAGAGGCACAGGTATATCTATAACTGGAGAGGAACAGGTATATCTATAACTGGAGAGGAACAGGTATATCTATAACTGGAGAGGAACAGGTATATCTATAACTGGAGAGGAACAGGTATATCTATAACTGGAGGGGCACAGGTATATCTATAACTGTAGAGGCACAGGTATATCTATAACTGTAGAGGCACAGGTATATCTATAACGGGAGAGGCACAGGTATATCTATATCTGGAGAGGCACAGGTATATCTTTAACTGGAGAGGCACAGGTATAGCTATAACTGGAGAGGCACAGGTATAACTATAACTGGAGAGGCACAGGGATATCTATAACTGGAGAGGCACGGGTATATCTATAACGGGAGAGGCACAGGTATATCTATTACTGGAGAGGCACAGGTATATATTTGCTGGAGAAGCAGAGGTGTATCCAGCTGGAGAGAAATAGGTGTATCCAGCTGGAGAGGCAGATGTATATTTATAACTGGAGAGGCACAGGTATATCTAAAACTGGAGAGGCACAGGAATATCTATAACTGGAGAGGCAGAGGTATATCTATAACTGGAGAGGCTCAGGTATATTTTTGCTGGAGAGGCAGAGGTGTATCCAGCTGGAGAGAAAGAGGGGTATCCAGCTGGAGAGGCAGATGTATATTTATAACTGGAGAGGCACAGGTTTATCTAAAACTGGAGAGGCACAGGTATACCTATAACTGGAGAGGCACAGGCATATCTATAACTGGAGAGGCACGGGTATATCTATAACGGGAGAGGCACAGGTATATCTACAACTGGAGAGGCACAGGTATAACTATAACTGGAGAGGCACAGGTTTATCTAAAACTGGAGAGGCACAGGAATATTTTTGCTGGAGAAGCAGGGGTGTATCCAGCTGGAGAGAAAGAGGGGTATCCAGCTGGAGAGAAAGAGGTGTATCCAGCTGGAGAGGCAGATAGGTATATCCAGCTGGATAGGCAGAGAGGTATATCCAGCTGGAGGGATTGTGAGACAGAGAGGATATATCCAGCTGGAGAGGTGGAGAGGGATATCTACCTGGAGAGACAGAGAGGTATATCCAGCTGGGGAGACAGAGAGGTATATCCAGCTGGAGGGATTGTGAGACAGAGAGGATATATCCAGCTGGAGAGGCAGAGAGGTATATCCAGCTGGGGAGACAGAGAGGTATATCCAGCTGGGGAGACAGAGAGGTATATCCAGCTGGGGAGACAGAGAGGTATATCCAGCTGGGGAGACAGAGAGGTATATCCAGCTGGGGAGACAGAGAGGTATATCCAGCTGGAGAGACGGAGAGGTATATCCAGCTGGAGAAGCAGAGAGGATATATCCAGCTGGAGAGACAGAGAGGATATATCCAGCTGGAGAGGCAGAGAGGTATATCCAGCTGGGGAGACAGAGAGGTATATCCAGCTGGAGGGATTGAGAGACAGAGAGGATATATCCAGCTGGAGAGGTGGAGAGATATATCTACCTGGAGAGACGGAGAGGATATATCCAGCTGGAGAGGCAGAGAGGTATATCCAGCTGGAGAGACAGAGTGGTATATCTATAACTGGAGAGGCACAGGTATATTTTTGCTGGAGAAGCAGAGGTGTATCCAGCTGGAGAGAAAGAGGTGTATCCAGCTGGAGAGGCAGATGTATATTTATAACTGGAGAGGCACAGGTATATTTTTGCTGCATGGAGAGGCAGAGGTATATCCAGCTGGAGAGGCGGTGATGTATATCCAGCTGGAGAAGCAGAGAGGTATATCCAGCTGGAGAGGCAGATAGGTATATCCAGCTGGAGAGGCAGATAGGTATATCCAGCTGGATAGGCAGAGAGGTATATCCAGCTGGAGAGGCAGATAGGTATATCCAGCTGGAGAGGCAGAGAGGTATATTCATCTGGAGAGGGGGAGAGGTATATCCATCTGGAGAGGCAGATAGGTATATCCAGCTGGAGAGGCAGAGATGTATATCTACCTGGAGAGGCATAGAGGTATATCCAGCTGGAGAGACGGAGAGGTATATCCAGCTGGAGGGATTGAGAGGTGGAGAGGTACATCCAGCTGGAGAGGTAGACAGGTATATCCAGCTGGAGGGATTGAGAGGCAGAGAGGTATATCCAGCTGGAGAAGCAGAAAGGTATATCCAGCTGGAGAGACAGAGAGGATATATCCAGCTGGAGAGGCAGAGAGGTATATCCAGCTGGAGAGGCAGAGAGGTATATCCAGCTGGAGAAGCAGAGAGGATATATCCAGCTGGAGAGGCAGAGAGGTATATCCAGCTGGAGAGGCAGAGAGGTATATCCAGCTGGAGGGATTGAGAGGCAGAGAGGTATATCCAGCTGGAGGGATTGAGAGACAGAGAGGATATATCCAGCTGGAGAGACAGAGAGGTATATCCAGCTGGAGAGACAGAGAGGTATATCCAGCTGGAGAGGCAGATAAGTTTATCCAGCTGGAGAGGCAGAGATGTATATCCAGCTGGAGAGGTGGAGAGGTATATCTACCTGGAGAGACAGAGAGGTATATCTACCTGGAGAGGCGGAGAGGTATATCCAGCTGGAGAGGTGGAGAGGTATATCTACCTGGAGAGGCGGAGAGGTGGGGCGGATATGTATATCCAGCTGGAGCGACGGATGGGTATATCCAGCTGGAGAGGTGGAGAGATATATCTAGCTGGAGAGACGGAGAGATATATCCAGCTGGAGAGGTGGAGAGGTATATCCAGCTGGAGAGACGGAGAGATATATCCAGCTGGAGATGCGGAGAGGATATATCAAGCTGGAAAGACGGAGAGGTATATCTAACTCGAGAGACGGAGAGGTATATCCAGCTGGAGAGACGGATAGATATATCCAGCTGGAGATGCGGAGAGGTATATCCAGCTGGAGAGACGGAGAGGTATATCAAGCTGGAGAGGCAGAGAGATATATCCAGCTGGAGAGACGGAGAGATATATCCAGCTGGAGAGGTGGAGAGGTATATCAAGCTGGAAAGACGGAGGGGATATATCCAGCTGGAGATGCGGAGAGGATATATCAAGCTGGAAAGACGGAGAGGTATATCTAACTCGAGAGACGGAGAGGTATTTCCAGCTGACACAGGTAAGCAAGACAATAGTGTATACGTATGAAGTAGATACATATTCGACCATACACAGTCGAGGAAGACAGCGGTACATATAAAACAAGGGTATATTACACATTACTCAGTCGAGGAATACAAGAGTTAATATTAATAGAATCAATCCCTGATGTGAGGTATAGTCCTATTGCACGATGGCGTCCGCCATCTTGTTTTAGGTCATTATTTATGCGTGTCAAAGGTCAACTGGATATACTAGGCCTTCCGGTAATGTTGTAGCATCCGTAAACAAAGCTGTGGAATCTTCGTGTATGTTGTTATACTTAATATGCATTTTTTTCACTGAAACTATTTTAGACAATACCTTTATATAGTGATTTTTATCATATATTTATACAATTTAAACCATGGACACCGCTGGGTCGGCTTTAGACGACTTTCTTCACTGGAAACTATACGCTCTCCGTAAGTACCTCTGCGATCGAGGACTGTCTCGAAATGGCAACAGATCGGAATTGGCTGCTTTATGCTTTGCTGCACATGAATTGAATTTGCCACTGAAAAAAACATCTATTGAACTGTCGGCGGAAAATAAGATACATTATGATAAACTGTTATGTATTGATGGTGTTGTTCTACCGGACCCTTTGACCATTTTTGACAAGTGGGTGGACGAGAAGCAGGGAATGGTTTTATGGCCTGCAGTATTTATCACAGATATAACAACCTTCCTGATGACCAGTGAACATGAAGAGCAAGCTCGGATTCACCTAAATCAATATGAGATTGGAAAAGCGTATGAGTATTTTGCTTCCCAGTGGCTAAAAGAAGTTTTTTATCATCACATATCCCCACAATCCACTGTATGTTTTATGAGGGCCAGATGTGTTCCATCTCAGCGATTGAACTTGGATCCCCATACTGTGTGGGTTTGCTATGTAAAGAAAACAGGAGAAATAAAATCAGCCTACTGCTCCTGTACAGCTGGGTAAGATCAATGACAATATACACATGTTGAGTACAATGTAACCATTTTAATGGAGATAATATGATGACACATTCTGTCGATAAGGTAACAATAAACTTATATTTGGCGTGTTCCATTATATATTAATACCTTACGTCTTCCTTGTGGCTTATCAGGAAAACATGATCCATTATATACATACAATCAGTTAGATATATATACATGAATGTACAATTATTTAAATTGCGAGTAAGCCATTCTCTCCAATTCTGTGACTAAAATGCATGTGGGGAATTATGACTTCATCAGGTTTAAACATGATTTAAATGCATGTTGTTATTTTTTATAGTCTTGGTCAGACATGTAACCATGTGGCAGGACTACTCTTCCGCATTGAGCATGCAAATACCATGGGACTGACATCATGCACCTCCAGTAAATGTGTTTGGGTTACCCCTGGTAAGACCGCTCCACTTCCACCAAGCAAACTGAAGGACATGGATTTCAAGAAATCTCAATATGTTAAAAAGGTAAGTTAAATTTCAGTTTTATTCAGTTTGTCAGCAGTAGCAATTACATGTTTACTGGTAATTTAGTAGTGCTAATAGTACTGTAATACTGTTTGTCAATTCATTGCTTAGGAGGTTTCCCAAAAGAAAACAGATTGCATTCATGTTCCTGTAACTCCTAAACAGATGTAACTTTTTCATTATAGAATCTTCATAAAACTAGTTCACACACGATGATCTTGAATTGGTGAGATTTTTGATAAAAAGACATTTTAACAGTTTTTGTTAAAATGAAACATCGATATATCAAGTTTTACTTAAATACATTGTATCTATGGAAGACATTTCACAACATTGTCAGTCAACCTTGATTTTTTAAAAATCTACTTATTTTGCAAGCTTCCAGACCATTAGTTGGAAAATTAAAGGCTGCTTTCAATGTGCTTCCCTGCGAAATGGATACTGAGGCGATTCAGAAAAGCATGATGGCAAAGCTTGTAGAGGTCCAGCCGAACGCTTGTGTATTGAAAGGTATACATTTAATATTTAGAGAATACGTAAACATTATTCTCACTATTTACTACATAATTGATATCATACCTGGTACAATTGTAATTCAGTTATTTATATTTTTTTTGCCTTAGCTACAGTGGGGTCCAGACATTTTATTATCCCTGGCCAGCAATTATATATACCTGGTATACAGTAATATATGTACGATCATGGTTAAAGTTGCCAGGGTTCAACTCTCCGAACATTTTGTTTCCTCATGCAGGAGAGCTTCTAATTGAGTCTGCAGAGGTACAACTGTCAACATACATATGTATGTATTATGTAGCTTGTTTGTCACTCACTGTAGCTAATATATTTTTCTGACATACATTACAATCAATAGTATACCTCACATCTCCATTCCAATACAATATACATGACATATGTCAAAAAACCCTGTTCAGTTTCTGTTCGCCTGATCAATCATCCTGAGAGCCCAGTCTCTGCGCTGGTCATATTCAACTCTTTTCACATAATTAACCGAGCTATTAAAATGATTGAGCAGGGACTGACCTGAAGTACAAAATCTCAATAATGACATAATAAACTCTCAGGCTATGGCATACCAGTGATCAGACTACTAAATCAAAGGCTAATTTGTTTGTATTTATGCATGCATGCATGATGATATAAATTTAAGGCCTATTGACAGCTATGGCAATTGAACCTGCGACCCAATAGTGGATAGCTAGTGATCATAGATGATTGACACATAAATATATGAATATTTATACATGTGAACAGCATACTTTAAAAGTTAATTGTAATTATCACTTAATCAATATATCGATGTTTCCATAATTTTTACAACTCAGTCAGGGGGTACATACTCAAACATCTTGCCGTTTGACATAATTATTATGTAGAAATATATTCATGAACAATGTAACATATTTTTGGTGAATTTTATAGAATTATTTTAAATATTATAGACTGTTCCTGAATTTATTATTTTTCAGGCATATCAATGAAAACAAAGAAGAAAGTCTTAATCCAACAACCAGAGAAGACAGAAGATCTTTCCAAATCTACCATGGAGGTACTAATTTCCAGATCTATAGAGGAGCTGGCATCTGATGATGTACAGTCAATTCAGGAGGCTACTACTGGTCAGTCAGATAACCATCGCTGGACCGAAATGAGGAAAGGAAGGATAACTGCATCAAACTTCCATGCAGTGGACACCAAAGTTTGCTCTTATGAAAAAAAGGTGGAATGTGATGTTAAGCCTCTAATAAGAAATATTATGGGATATACAACAGTTAACCCAAATGTTAAGTCTCTCAAGTATGGCAGAGAAATGGAACCTGTTGCAAAGAAAGACTTCTTGAAGTTGTATTGTAAACATCACAGGAGTGTCATTTTTTCTGAATGTGGACTTTTTGTAGATAAAAGGCATCCTTTTCTTGGAGCCAGTCCAGATTTGCTTCTGTCCTGCTCCTGTTGTGGAGAAGGGTTGCTGGAGATCAAGTGTCCAATGGTGAAAAAGTGTGAAGTTAGTTTATCATTTTGTACATGTAATTTACCCAATTGTCTTACCAAAACCAACCCTCCCACTTTAAAGAAACTGGGTTACTATGCTCAGATTCAGGGGCAAATGGCATTAACAAACAGAAAATGGTGTGTATTTTTTGTTTATACATGAAATGGATCACATAATGAAAAGATTTTCTTTGATGATGTCTATTATAATAAGATGCTTAAAAATCTCATTTTTTTCTTTACCAACTTCATTAAGCCAGAAACCCAATCGCGGTCACTGCAAGCTGTTGTCAATAATGATATCTTGGGAGAAGAAGAGCCAATGGAAATAGATGTACAAAGTACAGTATTCTTTTGTCCCATTTGCAATAAAAAATTCAGGAAGATGTAGATGCTCTGAAAGACAGGAGTATTGCTTGTGACAGTTGTAACTTGTGGTATCATTTCCATTGTGTGTCTGTGACCAATGCTGTAGCAAAATCTGCAAGCATGTGGAAATGTAGCAAGTGCACATGATATCATTAATATCATACAATATAGTGCAAAATCAAGACAGTATTCAATCACTCAAATATGATTAGTGACTCATTTACATACAGGGTTTACTGAGAATTTATGATTTGCACTGTATATATATCAATATGCAAGTGTTGTCTTCATTAATTGTTAACATAGTTATATATATCCGAGTTCTAGCCAAACAAAAAGGATACAGAATTGGAATTCAAAATGAATTCTCGCAATAATTGTATTATTTTCTAGGATGTAATTAAAAGGGAACACACAGTTTCGACTATGTACAAGTATTTGAGTACCTGTTTTTTTCTGCTAGAAAAGAAAACCATACGGACAAACAATTTGGAGACTTCACATTGACTTTTCTAAGAAAGTAGTTGTACTGGATATCCATGTGTACCTACATTGCCTTAGAATAATTATCTAGCCATTTTCAACAATGAATTCTGATTTTCCTATTATCTTAAATCACTGTCTTTGAAGTTTGTATATATATTTTATAATGTTTTAAGCTAAATTCCTAGCCGTCTAAGATATTGTAATATAAATCATGTAATGCAATGTTCCTTAGTAAAGTTAAACAATGCAATATATTTCAACATGAAAATTGCTAAGCTTGCAATATTCATTCTTATCAGTTATGTGTTTGTATAGACTGTTTATATATACTTGTATAAAATATGTTTTCATTGAATCAAAAAGAACTAAACTCAGCTGTATATGTATGTGAATGGAGTTGACCTGTCTGACTAGGATTGACTATCAATACTTTGGTAATGGAGGGTACATATTGACTATCAATACTTTGGTAATGGAGGGTACATATTGCATATTCCACCAATAATTCTGATGATGTCATCCAGATGCTGGCAAAGGGTAACAGGAACCTCATACTTCAATATTCTGAAATATTTCATTCGGCGTATAGCCTGTTCCACAAAGATTCTTCTGTTTGCAATTTCTTTGGTCTTAATAACATCACCTGCAGGCATCTGACTTACTCCATGCTTACCAGGGGGGTTTTGTAAAAAGGCTCATCAGAAGTCTGCCTGCAAGTTACTGAACCCTTTGTCTGCAAGGATGACATCATATGGCTCAACTAAATCCATAAATCCACTGTTTAGAGTGACGTGTTTGTCGCTGACTCTTCCTCCCCAACATTCAGATAGAAAATTTATGGTACCAGAATGATTGATACTTACCAAGTATTTGGCTGTGTGGTGATGTTTGTAGTCACTCCAGCAACCATTCTGCATAGAAATGTTATTTGGTTTCTCTATGAACACCTCTGAGCAGTCAATGATATGCCTTACACCAGAATACTTACCATTTCTGAATGAAGGGGGGAGGTCATTTCTGACACCCTCTTTGCCATGGTTTACAATCAGAGTGCCAATGAACTTTCTCAAAATTCTGACCCAAGTTGTAAAAAGTCTGGAAACAAAGGATGTTGACACCCCAAATCTATCTGCAAGATCTTGATCTAAAAGACCTAGTCTTATTTTTCATGCATGTCATGAGCATTTCCTCCTTAGCTGTTAATTTCCTTGCTGTTCTTGGTTTAACAATTTTTTTGTAGTGTAAAATAGAACAATGGTAGGATGGCCCTTTCCAGTACCTAAGGTCTTTGAGATATGGTTCTATAATAGAATACACACCACCAAAGAGCTTCTGAGTTGGAATACCAGTGTAAAATCTCACTTTCTTGTCATTAGATAATAACTCGCTCACTCTCACTCTATGACTCTTAGCTCTAACTTTCTCCTTGCAAGATTTTAACTCTGCTGCTAAACATTTTATTTTGTCTTTCAGGGCGGTGATTTCTCCCTGTTTGATTATGAAATTTCCACAATGTTCTAAATAGTCATGGTCATGAAGCTGCTGGATAATGTTTGAATCTGGAAATTCTTGATCTGTCTTCCTACGTTTTTGGGGGGGATGACTACTGGTAAATGGCATGATCTTTCCTTAGGTGGCAGCCTTCCTTTGGTGACTGTGTTGGTATGTCCCATATTGAGGGTAGGGTAGGGGTTGTCCAATGTTAGCATCCTGTCCACAAAATGTACCGAGCATATGCGTGTGGCCACTTTTGGGGCCCATGCTGATCCATCTTTCCCACCCCTATTGACATTTTTTGTCCACGTATGTTTGGCATAGCTATCTTTTAAGGTGGTAGGGAAAGCAAACAAAGAAAATGGAGGCTCACAGACACAACATCCTGTGCCAAATTTACAACCATGAATTGTGCACATTTCTTTTTTCCAATTTTTAAGTTTGGGGACACCATTGGTGCATCCAACAACACAACAAATTCTTGCTGACGTGATAGAAGTTGATGTCAATACTTCAATATGAAGACAGTAACTAAATGTTTGCAATTGTGTTAACAAAAAATGAAATGTCAAAACTGTCAACAACACTGCAGAACCATGAACAAACATGCTATTTACCATAATAATTCAAACTGGATCTGAAAAGTACCATTTTACAAGAAGATGTACAAAGATTTTATACATGTACGTGATTGTGACAAATTAATAAACGCATGTTGTTAAAGAATATATTTTTGAGTCATTTAATTTCGTATATATAGTCGGGACTCGTTACAATTATCTAGAATAAACATATCCTATTCTGATATAGATCAAAGCACATATAAACGTGCTTTGACCCATGTCAGTATAGCATATATTTATTTGAGTAATTTGTAACGAGCCCCTGTGCCCCGCCCCCCTTACATGGTTTCACACACAAACGAAGGGACAGTCGACGACTCGACGTCGGGCGCATATGAATTTCCGAACTTACTTACCTCGCTGACAATCCTGAAGCCGTCACTAAATATACATATCTTAAATAGGTTGGGCTATCGTCAAACATCAAGCGCGATTAAAATGTACACACAGGGCAAATCCGATTAGTTATCCAACATCGCTGTCGGAGATGAACCGCGATGTTTAGGGTAAAGAAAACGTTTTTTTTACGAAAACATAAATGAACCTCTATGATTGAAAATAAGAAATATTTCCATTAATGTCCGTAGATTATGATCTTCTGTATAAAAAGTTAACCTTACATAAGTAAATAAGTAAAGAACACCGATTAAAGTGACTTACGCTGTGCAAGTTTCAAGCGACCCGCCATTGCTGCAGAACCCGGATGTAAATATTATATCTAGTTGACCTTTGACACAGCGGTTAGCGGAAACGTGCAATAGGACTATGGATACGGTTATGCAAACCCAAGGGATATAATATTGAGTAGGAGACCCGAGGCTTTGCCGAGGGTCTTTCGCTCAATATTTTATCCCGAGGGTTTGACTAACCTTATCCTTACCTCATAACAGGGATGGAGCCCGGATGGCTATTGTTAGTGACGTCAATCACCCTGACTGACCTCAAAACGTCATAAAATAACGTCACGAACAATAGCGTGACCCCGAAAGGTCACGTTAATTCCACCGCCAGTCTGCAAGTGTAAGCGATCTAGACCCTTGGGTCGGATAAAAATGCGGATATCTTGGTCTAGTGTGCAAGAAATACTAGTATATATATGTGAAACAGATTTACATATAACTTTACATAGGTGAGGAAGGCGACAGTACATATATCAAAAACAGTTCCATTAAGGTACCTAGCGAAAATTTATTGTATAACTACATGTATTATTCCATACATTCATAGTATGAATTAATTTGTTGATCAGGCGTATAACTTAAAATTTAGATTTTCAACTTTTCAGTCCCTAGCATCATTGATGAGTCCTAGAAGAACGAAACCACTGTATTATACAGTGTAATTTGATTTTGTCAAACTGTGTTCTATTACCAACTGTTAAGGGTGCAGTCACCCATGTGTGTGTTACGTCCATCTTGTACCGACGAGACAAAACATTATATAATAGTTGATAAAATAACAAAACGGGCTCTTTATCAATTATTGCAATTAAAATTTGACGCTAATTTGACTTTTACAAAATGAAAATAAGTTGTGTGTTATTATTACATTTAAGCTTAATTTATGAAACAGAAATAAAACTATTTTCATTTCAATAACTATAGATGTATAGGATCATTTACATCCCTCGACAACAGCTACATCAAAAACACCAACGCCCAAATAAGAAAATAAACATTTGTAATACGGATGAAGAATGTTTTATTTAAAACAAACACAGTTTAAAAAGTTCAGAGTCATGTAAACTTCCACCATTGACGTGAATAAGAATTCGTCACGGAGAGTAATATATTTGGTTTCTTTATTTTCCATTTCTATTTCAGTGTCCCTGTTATAAAAAAAAAATGAATTCATAGCTATTTGAAAAAAAACCTCTAGGAAATGGCACAAGCCGAGTTCGTCTAGACAGCGGATGGATGTGGTCCTAAGATGATCGGTGCCCAGGACGATATCGCATCATGTTCAAAGCAGCCCTCTGATGCCGACCCGTTGTGACGCCCCGTCAAAAACAGGTACTGCTTGCCCTTGAAGCAACAGTGCTGGAAACCTATCCATCTGGAAAAAAAGTAAATTGCTTTTAGTGATGAACATAAAACACCTATAAAATTTGGTAAATTATTCAATATGTTTATCATAAATTACACAGCACCAAACAGCTGTGTCGTCAAAATAACGAAAATAAATTGCTATATAACATTTATTAAAGTAGATTAATTTGATTATAATATGTTGCAATACCGAAAATGATATTTCGATTAATACATAATATATTGCTATGCCGAAAATGAAAGAAACCCTCAAATTTCGTAACTGGTTCCGGCCTTAGTCACATTGTATTATAGTCAGTACATCCATAACCAGCACTTTCTGGGTAATATTTTCATGAACAGATTATAGGCTACCAAAGTTTTACTTACCCTCCACTTTGAACTGCCACTGACGAAACTTTGTCGTTAAAACAGAATTTGCCTAGATCTGGATATCGAGTGACCCCTTCAAAAACCTGCTTCCTGCCGCCGAAACATTTGTCCTCGTATAGAGTACAGGAGGGGCTTACCGTAAAGTCCTGTAATGGAATTATTCAGTAAAGTGTTCAGGAATGTATATGACAGCAACAGGGACAGCAAAAGACCATGTCTGATATGGATGTAGTAATAGTTTCCATCATTCCTTTTTTTTATGTCAGTTTCTGGTTATAACAGGAAACCTTTACAGCGTAACATTAACATTCGCAAAAAAAAATCAAAACAAAATATCAGCAATTACAATCTAAACGAGCATCTAAAGGGATATTGAGTCCCATATGACTGTGACCACGCACATTCGTTTCAAGGACATGGTTTGTAAACGGAGAAGTTTCAGGTTATATGACTTAAGGATGTGCTCCTCTTAGAAGGCGATGACGATTTAAGTGATCAATCTAGTGTCAAAAAATATGTAATTTTGCTCTCTCGTGAAGCGTAGGAAATATGCATTTTAAATACACTCGCCGAATGGTTAATAATTCTTTAAAAAAAGTTCTAAAACAACAGGCATCTAGTTTTTGACACATTTTTCAGATGCGTGTTTTACTGTTTTTTTTTTTAAAATAATACAGAACCCCGTAACTCAAGACCAAAACGAGACTTGAACGTGATTTAAACCTCATAATATACGTTTGATGCAAACTCCGTATATTCAAGTTGACATTCAAAAATATACTTACAAACTCGATTGGTTTAAGGGAACTAATGGTGTCATCGGCCTCACACGGCAGGTTTATCTTCTGTCCCTCCCATACAACGTAAATCTTACCGCCCAAGAAGCAATGCTGGTATAGAACCCATCTGAATATATAACAAAACAAAATACATTAAAAACAAACAAGAGATATTATTTTTTCGATAACATAATACCTTATACAAAAATTATTGGTTGACTTTTTGTGTGTTTATACAATTTAAATTTCGGACCGAGAGAGATATGATTGTTTTTAATATCTGATGCTTCATCTCCAATAAAAAGTGATCTTATGTATATAATTTTGCGGACTCAAATGTAAGCATATTGTCAGTTTTTAGCGGATGAACGCATTGATGAATTGACGCCCTCACAATGTTGAATGGAAAGCTATATACAGAAACTCAATTATCGCTATCATAATTCAGCGCAATGTGTAAAGGCGAAAGGCGATAAAATTCTAATACCGCTAAAAGATAAACGTTAACAGTAAATGCAGATATGCCTCATAAACTATGGTAAAAAGTTTATTTGGTTACAAAACAGGACAGTATAGTTAAAACCTGCTTTAATGCGATAAATTAAATACCTTATAGACTGAACTATTTTATTTGTCATTAGTACCCTGGGATCAGACATGAGACAACGACAAACAATTGAATGCCATCAATGATAGAAAGTTAATCACGATTAGAAGTCAGAACCTAGTAATCGCCAAAATTGCAGAGGTATACAGCAATACATCATTTGAACCTTTCTTCTTTAAGTAACACTTAACTGAATCAGATCTGTCAGTTTACGGTTACAGTTCAAAATATCTAAATACACCATGATACCCAGAGGCGTTGCAGAAACATTCATGCCGAATAGCGTTGCGTTATCATGTTCGCGTGTGATGTTACTTCCTAAAAATAAACGTTTCCTTCTTGAAGTTTGATTATTATTCGATTTTCGGGGTTAGACCTGGGAATATGAACACCATGAATGCGGAATTATGATAATCGGTAAGAAACAGATAGAGCGATTCATTTGTTTAATATTAAATCCGATGATAGTAAATTAAAATTCACTTTTATTAACTAAGCCAGTTTCCGACAGTAGTTTTATCATCGTACGAGTCACCTCGCTTATCTGTACTTAAATGAATAACTTTGGTTAACATATAACGAAGACATTAATTGCAACATCGTCTCTGCCAGTGGAAATCTAAGTTATATTACTGCTAAGCATGGTTCAGAAAGACTGCTAAAGGCCAGTGATAACGACACGAATGTATATATAATCCGAGACCTTAATGGTATATAATTATATTGAAAAAGCCGCCAAAGAGACCTAGTTATGACAATCAGGACAGAGGCGCGTGGTGGGGGGTAATTTATTGTACTGCCATCTAACAGTCTTTGTACCTTGACTAGTAGATTATCGTACTGTATTACGATTACCGACCAACAATCCTCGTAATTCTAGTCCACTGTGGACCTCTACGAACGACATTTGGTTGTTGAATCCAACAGTCCTTGTACTTACAACTTTGACTAGTAGAGTATATTATTGTATTACTATTACCGACCAACAATCCTCGTACTTACAGTCCACTGTGGACCTCCACGGACGACACTCGATTGTTGAATCCCGTAAAACATAAACTGTACTGAGGATCACAGAAATCTTTACAACATCCCTTGAAATCCTTTTCCGTGTACAAGGTAATCTGATAAACAGAAGAAAATAATTTAAATGTTTCCGTTTAATGTTATCAATAAAATTAGATGACATGGGTGTTATGATGGGGTGTAAAGAATTCCAAGACATAAGAAAGAGAACCGTTAAAAGAACAACAACGCGCACATCAAGTGGAAATGTGAAAAGCAATTGAAATAATGCATGCAAAATGAAAACATTTTTTCATTCATATCTATATATTGAAAATGCAACCGTTGTTTTTTACGTAGTCTATAATTCAATTAACAACTAGAAAGTGAAACTATTAACGAATGAGTATAAAACAATTACAACAAATGTGTAAACAAATCATTGCCCTACTACATGCCTCGTTCACCATCGACGATCAGGCTTTTGTTAGTTTGTTTGCGGTTTAACATTTAAGCCAAGATAATATGAGGTCGGGTGCCTAGTGCTAGGGAGACACAACAGCCAAGGTAATATGAGGACGGGTGCCTAGTGCTAGGGAGACACAACAGCCAAGGTAAAATGAGGATGGGTGCGTAGTGCTAGGGACACACAACAGCCAAGGTAATATGAGGACGGGTGCCTAGTGCTAGGGACACACAACAGCCAAGGTAATATGAGGACGGGTGCCTAGTGCTAGGGAGTCACAACAGCCAAGGTAATATGAGGACGGGTGCCTAGAGCTAGGGAGTCACAACTGCCAAGGTAATATGTGGACGAGTGCCTAGTGCTAGGGAGACACAACAGCCAAGGTAATATGAGGACGGGTGCCTAGTGCTAGGGAGACACAACAGCCAAGGTAATATGAGGACGGGTGCCTAGTGCTAGGGAGACACAACAGCCAAGGTAATATGAGGACGGGTGCCTAGTGCTAGGGAGACACAACAGCCAAGGTAATATGAGGACGGGTGCCTAGTGCTAGGGAGACACAACAGCCAAGGTAATATGAGGACGGGTGCCTAGTGCTAGGGAGACACAACAGCCAAGGTAATATGAGGACGGGTGCCTAGTGCTAGGGAGACACAACAGCCAAGGTAATATGAGGACGGGTGCCTAGTGCTAGGGAGACACAACAGCCAAGGTAATATGAGGACGGGTGCCTAGTGCTAGGGAGACACAACAGCCAAGGTAATATGAGGACGGGTGCCTAGTGCTAGGGAGACACAACAGCCAAGGTAATATGAGGACGGGTGCCTAGTGCTAGGGAGACACAACAGCCAAGGTAATATGAGGACGGGTGCCTAGTGCTAGGGAGACACAACAGCCAAGGTAATATGAGGACGGGTGCCTAGTGCTAGGGAGACACAACAGCCAAGGTAATATGAGGACGGGTGCCTAGTGCTAGGGAGACACAACAGCCAAGGTAATATGAGGACGGGTGCCTAGTGCTAGGGAGACACAACAGCCAAGGTAATATGAGGACGGGTGCCTAGTGCTAGGGAGACACAACAGCCAAGGTAATATGAGGACGGGTGCCTAGTGCTAGGGAGACACAACAGCCAAGGTAATATGAGGACGGGTGCCTAGTGCTAGGGAGACACAACAGCCAAGGTAATATGAGGACGGGTGCCTAGTGCTAGGGAGACACAACAGCCAAGGTAATATGAGGACGGGTGCCTAGTGCTAGGGAGACACAACAGCCAAGGTAATATGAGGACGGGTGCCTAGTGCTAGGGAGACACAACAGCCAAGGTAATATGAGGACGGGTGCCTAGTGCTAGGGAGACACAACAGCCAAGGTAATATGAGGACGGGTGCCTAGTGCTAGGGAGACACAACAGCCAAGGTAATATGAGGACGGGTGCCTAGTGCTAGGGAGACACAACAGCCAAGGTAATATGAGGACGGGTGCCTAGTGCTAGGGAGACACAACAGCCAAGGTAATATGAGGACGGGTGCCTAGTGCTAGGGAGACACAACAGCCAAGGTAATATGAGGACGGGTGCCTAGTGCTAGGGAGACACAACAGCCAAGGTAATATGAGGACGGGTGCCTAGTGCTAGGGAGACACAACAGCCAAGGTAATATGAGGACGGGTGCCTAGTGCTAGGGAGACACAACAGCCAAGGTAATATGAGGACGGGTGCCTAGTGCTAGGGAGACACAACAGCCAAGGTAATATGAGGACGGGTGCCTAGTGCTAGGGAGACACAACAGCCAAGGTAATATGAGGACGGGTGCCTAGTGCTAGGGAGACACAACAGCCAAGGTAATATGAGGACGGGTGCCTAGTGCTAGGGAGACACAACAGCCAAGGTAATATGAGGACGGGTGCCTAGTGCTAGGGAGACACAACAGCCAAGGTAATATGAGGACGGGTGCCTAGTGCTAGGGAGACACAACAGCCAAGGTAATATGAGGACGGGTGCCTAGTGCTAGGGAGACACAACAGCCAAGGTAATATGAGGACGGGTGCCTAGTGCTAGGGAGACACAACAGCCAAGGTAATATGAGGACGGGTGCCTAGTGCTAGGGAGACACAACAGCCAAGGTAATATGAGGACGGGTGCCTAGTGCTAGGGAGACACAACAGCCAAGGTAATATGAGGACGGGTGCCTAGTGCTAGGGAGACACAACAGCCAAGGTAATATGAGGACGGGTGCCTAGTGCTAGGGAGACACAACAGCCAAGGTAATATGAGGACGGGTGCCTAGTGCTAGGGAGACACAACAGCCAAGGTAATATGAGGACGGGTGCCTAGTGCTAGGGAGACACAACAGCCAAGGTAATATGAGGACGGGTGCCTAGTGCTAGGGAGACACAACAGCCAAGGTAATATGAGGACGGGTGCCTAGTGCTAGGGAGACACAACAGCCAAGGTAATATGAGGACGGGTGCCTAGTGCTAGGGAGACACAACAGCCAAGGTAATATGAGGACGGGTGCCTAGTGCTAGGGAGACACAACAGCCAAGGTAATATGAGGACGGGTGCCTAGTGCTAGGGAGACACAACAGCCAAGGTAATATGAGGACGGGTGCCTAGTGCTAGGGAGACACAACAGCCAAGGTAATATGAGGACGGGTGCCTAGTGCTAGGGAGACACAACAGCCAAGGTAATATGAGGACGGGTGCCTAGTGCTAGGGAGACACAACAGCCAAGGTAATATGAGGACGGGTGCCTAGTGCTAGGGAGACACAACAGCCAAGGTAATATGAGGACGGGTGCCTAGTGCTAGGGAGACACAACAGCCAAGGTAATATGAGGACGGGTGCCTAGTGCTAGGGAGACACAACAGCCAAGGTAATATGAGGACGGGTGCCTAGTGCTAGGGAGACACAACAGCCAAGGTAATATGAGGACGGGTGCCTAGTGCTAGGGAGACACAACAGCCAAGGTAATATGAGGACGGGTGCCTAGTGCTAGGGAGACACAACAGCCAAGGTAATATGAGGACGGGTGCCTAGTGCTAGGGAGACACAACAGCCAAGGTAATATGAGGACGGGTGCCTAGTGCTAGGGAGACACAACAGCCAAGGTAATATGAGGACGGGTGCCTAGTGCTAGGGAGACACAACAGCCAAGGTAATATGAGGACGGGTGCCTAGTGCTAGGGAGACACAACAGCCAAGGTAATATGAGGACGGGTGCCTAGTGCTAGGGAGACACAACAGCCAAGGTAATATGAGGACGGGTGCCTAGTGCTAGGGAGACACAACAGCCAAGGTAATATGAGGACGGGTGCCTAGTGCTAGGGAGACACAACAGCCAAGGTAATATGAGGACGGGTGCCTAGTGCTAGGGAGACACAACAGCCAAGGTAATATGAGGACGGGTGCCTAGTGCTAGGGAGACACAACAGCCAAGGTAATATGAGGACGGGTGCCTAGTGCTAGGGAGACACAACAGCCAAGGTAATATGAGGACGGGTGCCTAGTGCTAGGGAGACACAACAGCCAAGGTAATATGAGGACGGGTGCCTAGTGCTAGGGAGACACAACAGCCAAGGTAATATGAGGACGGGTGCCTAGTGCTAGGGAGACACAACAGCCAAGGTAATATGAGGACGGGTGCCTAGTGCTAGGGAGACACAACAGCCAAGGTAATATGAGGACGGGTGCCTAGTGCTAGGGAGACACAACAGCCAAGGTAATATGAGGACGGGTGCCTAGTGCTAGGGAGACACAACAGCCAAGGTAATATGAGGACGGGTGCCTAGTGCTAGGGAGACACAACAGCCAAGGTAATATGAGGACGGGTGCCTAGTGCTAGGGAGACACAACAGCCAAGGTAATATGAGGACGGGTGCCTAGTGCTAGGGAGACACAACAGCCAAGGTAATATGAGGACGGGTGCCTAGTGCTAGGGAGACACAACAGCCAAGGTAATATGAGGACGGGTGCCTAGTGCTAGGGAGACACAACAGCCAAGGTAATATGAGGACGGGTGCCTAGTGCTAGGGAGACACAACAGCCAAGGTAATATGAGGACGGGTGCCTAGTGCTAGGGAGACACAACAGCCAAGGTAATATGAGGACGGGTGCCTAGTGCTAGGGAGACACAACAGCCAAGGTAATATGAGGACGGGTGCCTAGTGCTAGGGAGACACAACAGCCAAGGTAATATGAGGACGGGTGCCTAGTGCTAGGGAGACACAACAGCCAAGGTAATATGAGGACGGGTGCCTAGTGCTAGGGAGACACAACAGCCAAGGTAATATGAGGACGGGTGCCTAGTGCTAGGGAGACACAACAGCCAAGGTAATATGAGGACGGGTGCCTAGTGCTAGGGAGACACAACAGCCAAGGTAATATGAGGACGGGTGCCTAGTGCTAGGGAGACACAACAGCCAAGGTAATATGAGGACGGGTGCCTAGTGCTAGGGAGACACAACAGCCAAGGTAATATGAGGACGGGTGCCTAGTGCTAGGGAGACACAACAGCCAAGGTAATATGAGGACGGGTGCCTAGTGCTAGGGAGACACAACAGCCAAGGTAATATGAGGACGGGTGCCTAGTGCTAGGGAGACACAACAGCCAAGGTAATATGAGGACGGGTGCCTAGTGCTAGGGAGACACAACAGCCAAGGTAATATGAGGACGGGTGCCTAGTGCTAGGGAGACACAACAGCCAAGGTAATATGAGGACGGGTGCCTAGTGCTAGGGAGACACAACAGCCAAGGTAATATGAGGACGGGTGCCTAGTGCTAGGGAGACACAACAGCCAAGGTAATATGAGGACGGGTGCCTAGTGCTAGGGAGACACAACAGCCAAGGTAATATGAGGACGGGTGCCTAGTGCTAGGGAGACACAACAGCCAAGGTAATATGAGGACGGGTGCCTAGTGCTAGGGAGACACAACAGCCAAGGTAATATGAGGACGGGTGCCTAGTGCTAGGGAGACACAACAGCCAAGGTAATATGAGGACGGGTGCCTAGTGCTAGGGAGACACAACAGCCAAGGTAATATGAGGACGGGTGCCTAGTGCTAGGGAGACACAACAGCCAAGGTAATATGAGGACGGGTGCCTAGTGCTAGGGAGACACAACAGCCAAGGTAATATGAGGACGGGTGCCTAGTGCTAGGGAGACACAACAGCCAAGGTAATATGAGGACGGGTGCCTAGTGCTAGGGAGACACAACAGCCAAGGTAATATGAGGACGGGTGCCTAGTGCTAGGGAGACACAACAGCCAAGGTAATATGAGGACGGGTGCCTAGTGCTAGGGAGACACAACAGCCAAGGTAATATGAGGACGGGTGCCTAGTGCTAGGGAGACACAACAGCCAAGGTAATATGAGGACGGGTGCCTAGTGCTAGGGAGACACAACAGCCAAGGTAATATGAGGACGGGTGCCTAGTGCTAGGGAGACACAACAGCCAAGGTAATATGAGGACGGGTGCCTAGTGCTAGGGAGACACAACAGCCAAGGTAATATGAGGACGGGTGCCTAGTGCTAGGGAGACACAACAGCCAAGGTAATATGAGGACGGGTGCCTAGTGCTAGGGAGACACAACAGCCAAGGTAATATGAGGACGGGTGCCTAGTGCTAGGGAGACACAACAGCCAAGGTAATATGAGGACGGGTGCCTAGTGCTAGGGAGACACAACAGCCAAGGTAATATGAGGACGGGTGCCTAGTGCTAGGGAGACACAACAGCCAAGGTAATATGAGGACGGGTGCCTAGTGCTAGGGAGACACAACAGCCAAGGTAATATGAGGACGGGTGCCTAGTGCTAGGGAGACACAACAGCCAAGGTAATATGAGGACGGGTGCCTAGTGCTAGGGAGACACAACAGCCAAGGTAATATGAGGACGGGTGCCTAGTGCTAGGGAGACACAACAGCCAAGGTAATATGAGGACGGGTGCCTAGTGCTAGGGAGACACAACAGCCAAGGTAATATGAGGACGGGTGCCTAGTGCTAGGGAGACACAACAGCCAAGGTAATATGAGGACGGGTGCCTAGTGCTAGGGAGACACAACAGCCAAGGTAATATGAGGACGGGTGCCTAGTGCTAGGGAGACACAACAGCCAAGGTAATATGAGGACGGGTGCCTAGTGCTAGGGAGACACAACAGCCAAGGTAATATGAGGACGGGTGCCTAGTGCTAGGGAGACACAACAGCCAAGGTAATATGAGGACGGGTGCCTAGTGCTAGGGAGACACAACAGCCAAGGTAATATGAGGACGGGTGCCTAGTGCTAGGGAGACACAACAGCCAAGGTAATATGAGGACGGGTGCCTAGTGCTAGGGAGACACAACAGCCAAGGTAATATGAGGACGGGTGCCTAGTGCTAGGGAGACACAACAGCCAAGGTAATATGAGGACGGGTGCCTAGTGCTAGGGAGACACAACAGCCAAGGTAATATGAGGACGGGTGCCTAGTGCTAGGGAGACACAACAGCCAAGGTAATATGAGGACGGGTGCCTAGTGCTAGGGAGACACAACAGCCAAGGTAATATGAGGACGGGTGCCTAGTGCTAGGGAGACACAACAGCCAAGGTAATATGAGGACGGGTGCCTAGTGCTAGGGAGACACAACAGCCAAGGTAATATGAGGACGGGTGCCTAGTGCTAGGGAGACACAACAGCCAAGGTAATATGAGGACGGGTGCCTAGTGCTAGGGAGACACAACAGCCAAGGTAATATGAGGACGGGTGCCTAGTGCTAGAGAGACACAACAGCCAAGGTAATATGAGGACGGGTGCCTAGTGCTTGGGAGTCACAACAGCCACGGTAATATTAGGACGGGTGCCTAGTGCTAGGGAGACACAACAGCCAAGGTAATATGATGACGAGTGCCTAGTGCTAGGGAGACATAATAGCCAAGGTAATATGAGGCCGAGTGACTAGTGCTAGGGAGACACAACAGCCAAGGTAATATGAGGACGGGTTCCTAGTCCTAGGGAGTCACCGCCTAATAGAGAGGGAAGTAGACAGGAAACGTTAAAAACTACCAGGAAGAATGGCAAAATGTCAACTATTGCAAAACAAAAGAGAAAAAAATCTGTAGATAAAACTGCATGAAAACAGAATAAATGTCAGTAACATGTCTTCTTTTCTCAAGAAAACGATACAAATGTTAATTCAAATATAGAAAAGGGTTTCGCCAGAGAAGGACCAAAAACTTCAATTCAAGATAGAAATTAATTTCACCAGAGAAGAATAATCAGAAATATTGTAAGAATGTCATAATTTTCTCACATAACAAAAGAAAAGCTAATGTAAAATAAAAATAATAAAATCTTGAGTGGAGTATTGTAAGTAATATCAATAAAATAATATCTTTTTCTCCGATAACAATGCATGCGTAAATGTATACAGAAGATAAATAATTCAGAAATGAACAACACAATTACAAAAAATGTCACCCTTTTTCAGATAACAACACAAAAGTTAATGCTAAGAAAGGGAACAAGATATTATTTTTAAGCGATGTCTTAAAAATGTCAACCTCAGATTACGATAAAAAGTAAATATAAAAATAGGGAACGATTTCACGAGAGAAGGATATTGACATAGTTAACTGTCTAATTTTACCTTAGGGGGTCTGGAGGGCATGGTTACTGATGCGGCGTCGGCTCGTCACAGCAAGGCATACTCGGAGGATGTATCGCAGCTGTTTTTATAGGGTTGGAAACAGGATGAAGGTATCCTATCTCAAAGTGTCAGTGTCCTCGGGTAAGTAATCGCGGTCCGGTTAATACAATGAAAGTATTCACACTTAAATCACGAAATTCGTTTGTACAGACTTCTTAATTGAATCGGAAAGTCGTATGAGGCAAAATCGCCCACGTTTAATAATGAAAATAGTCATTGACATTTTAGAACATACGAACGAAAAAAATACAAAACAGTTTGCTATTCCTGTAAGCTTATAAAGTATGTGTCATAGTATGTTTGACTATTGTCCGACTCTATTACGCATTTGTTAGACAATTGGTATTTAGCCATATTCGTGAAATATTGATGGTATTCAACAGGGAAATCAATAAATATCCCCTATATAAAGTATACATTGCATTGCCTGTGCTGTTCCTTTAAGTCATTTTCCCTTTGGTTTCTATGTTAGTGTACTTGGAGAAAAAGAAGTATGCGGCTCCGAATAACATTCATTTTCGATAAATCTTTGAGGCATGATAGAGGTTTATCCAGTGTTTCGCCTGGTAAGATTTATAACATTATCCGTTACTGTATTAGTAAGATACCGCCTTTCGCCCTAACATGAATGGTATGCTTGACGTCATTCCTATAGACACAACCATATTATATTTGCCGTAAAAAACCTGTTTCGGCAAATTAATTCATTATGACTAGAGTTCAAACAAACGATTATAATTCTACTAACGTAAAACCAATAGAAGTGCTGATTCTCTAGCTGTGTGCGAAGAATTATGGGACTCCATTATATAATGTAAATGTATTTTTTTTTTATTGTGCACCTATTACAGTAACGAGGAAATAACACAAGGTAATTCAGTTCTGAGTGTAACATGTTTTTGATCTCAAATCAATTTAGATAAACAAATTATTTGCGGTTTTTATTTGAAATAAAACTTTAGGTTACATTTTGCATAATATTAAACTTTCAAGTAAATCATGTTAAAATGTGACTAATCGTTAAAATTGAAATATATTTATAGACACTCAAACAAATCTGATTACAATTTGAAATATTTTTTTCTCTCGAAATAATTTGAATCTAGTCCATAAGAATGTATGATTTTTTTCAGAATAATTATTGTTAGATATTTTAGAGTCGTTGGAATAGAACATGTGCAGGTTCGGGGATAGAGTAGGCCTGCTCTACTCACATGTGGCTAATATGTGGCGCCCTGCAGGAAAGGGGTGGTTTCTATTAAGAGGACATTTATAAAGCCACGAATTGACCAGCGGTGTGCAGCTGCATATTTATCACAGGAGGAGACTTGTGAGAATCGGTTGTTTCTCCATGTCATCTACGAGGATAACATGGAGGAGACCAAAGTTGACCCGCTGCCTCTATTACAACACTGGGGATCTTCTTTGTTACCCATCTCTCCTGTCTTTTTTATTTACTATCCATTCCGGCGGTGTCTCGCTAGGCCGGGTTCTTATATGACCCTGGCTGTTGCGAGGACGTTACCCTCTCCGCCACAAAAGAACCCCTTTGGATTACATTGGCTTTAAATAGCTATAACGATACAGCATACATGGTTTTTTTTTAAGTCGGAATGTGTTTGAAAGTCATTAAAACTATATCCAGTCACTTCAGTTCAGTCATGGCTCGCCGTTAATCGTTTACCAGTACAGTTTTCAAACTGGCGCATTGTTATTTTGTACATACAGTAGGTGTATCACAATGAAGATCCCACTGCAATGTCGGTTTCGTATATATAGTAACCTATGTAGCACAATTTAGCCAGGGAATTTCCATTCACGATGTGGCTCAGTCGGTCAAGCGTGGTATAATATTATCTGAAGTCCTGTGTTCGATTGTTTAGCCCGGCTGAAATGTTTGACTTTCAGAACACAGGTATAACTTGTGTATTTCATCTTAATTATTTGTTTGGGGCCTCTTGTTAAGACTAAATGTTTATAAATGATTTGTCAAAGCTACAGTCTTGCCGGAAACGAAGGATTCAAAGGCGTCGTTTTGACAGTGGTACGATGATAAAGTCAGGTATATTGGTGGATAATGATACAGAGTCAGTTATATTGGTGGATAACGATACAAAGTCAGGTATATTGGTGGATAATGATGCAAAGTCAGGTATATTGGTGAATAAGGATACAAAGTCAGGTATATTGGTGAATAAGGATACAAAGTCAGGTATATTGGTGGTGGATAATGATACAGAGTCAGTTATATTGGTGGATAATGATACAAAGTCAGTTATATTGGTGGATAAGGATACAAAGTCTGTGGTATTGGTGGATAATGATATAAAGTCAGTTATATTTGTGGATAATGATACAAAGTCAGTTATATTGGTGGATAAGGATACAAAGTCAGTTATATTGGTGGATAAGGATACAAAGTCAGT